GGAAGTAGTTCATCACTCTTTCTTCCTAGTCTGTCTTCATCTGGAAGATCATCTGAAACCTGTCCACCATGGGTGACCTTGCTGGTTACTTAAAATACTGTTGACAAAGCTTCCAGTACCACAGCAACTCATAAGCTATCACAGTATGACAAACTGGTAGTGTAGTGGTTACGAACTGCGTTGTTAACCTCAGGGTCTGCAGTTTGAAACTACCAACTGTTATTACCAAAAGATGAGGCTTTCTGCTCCCGTAAAGGTTTGCAGCCTCAGAAACCCTGTACAGGGTTGCTGTGTGTTGGAACTGACTCCATGGCACATCACCACCACCAATGTGATGACTATGGAGTCCTGGTTTGGTGCTGTTGGCTAATGCACTGTACTGCAAAGTCGTTGAACCATAAAGTTGGTGGTTTAAGCTCACCAGCCTCTCATTGAAAACCTTATACAAGGTCACTATGGATCACCAACTTGACGACACTTAACAACACCAATGAGAGTCCTGGTATGGTGTTGTGGGATAAAGCACTGGACCGCAAGGTCCGTTTGAACCAAAAGATCGGTGGTTCAAACTCACCAATCACTCCTTGGAGGGTCACTATGAGTCAGAACCGATTCAAAGACTCTTAACACCACTTAACAGCAATAACTGGAGTCCTGGTGTGGTACTGTAGGATAAGCACTGACTTAAAGTGTTCTGGTAGCATATTGGTTAGGCATAGGGCTGCTGACCTCAAGGTAAAAAGTTCAAAACTACCAGCTGTTCCTTAGGAGAAAGGTGAGGCTTTCTGCTTCCATAAAGATTTATAGCCTCGGAAACCCTGTACAGGGTTGCTGTAAGTCAGAATCGACTCCACGGGACATAACCACCACCACCATAAGGTTTGAACTGTGAGGCCAGTGGTTCAAACTCACCAGCTGCTCCTCAGAAACCCTAGACAGGGTGGCTTTGAGTCAGAACCTACTCCATGGCACTGAACAATGTTTATAATAACAATGTGACTGTTGGAACTAGGTTGCCTTGGCAGGGCCAGACCAAATGATTTCATGGGCTTACTTGATGGCACTTAACAACAACAACAACAATTTATAGTCTGTGGAGTCCTGGTGTGGCACTGTGGATTAATGCGCCAGACTGCAAAGCGGTTTGAACTGCAAGGTCAAGGTTACCAGCTGCTCCTCAGAAATCCTATACAGGGTCACTATGGGTCGGAACTGACTCCACTGCTCTTAACAACAACAATAGAATCTGAGGACTGAACGTCCCCACCCGATTCTAACCCCTCTCCATATCTTCACTTCTCCCTGCCTTAAAACTTTATTTTAAACTGATGTTTATTAAAGCAAATCCCAGACAACATATCACTGAATTCATTTTCTACAGAAATTCCAGGAGATTGAGGCATAAGAGAGTTGTAGAAAAACGATTTCTTATATGTGTGCTCTTCAGCAAAATATGGAAATTTCTGTAATTGAGATAAGGAAAAATATAGAATTTCTTTAAAATATCTATCTAATACCCAGAAGTTGTTGATTGTATTTTCCACACCCACATTCCCCCGCTAGAGTCATTGAAGGGGATCTTGGAGAACGTTAAAATGTCCCCTTACTGTTAGTGTAGTAACAAAATAACAGAAACTTCGGATATGTATAAACCTAAAAGTAGGCACCTATTCGTTTACTTTTGGCAATGACTATTTTCAGAATATTACTTTTGAAATTGAAATTTGTCAATGTAAAGGTAAGGCAATCTTCTTTTATGACAAGAAACTAAATGCATTTTTTCCCTGTGCCAATTCCGGTTGTATTGGTAATGGTTTTAAAGGCACTTTGTATCAGGAACTAGGCATGAAAGCCTGGTGTACTGTTATTTTAATGTTCACACATGTCAGGCCTATGCAGTATCAAGTAATTTGGAGACTTGGTTATTTTCCATGAGTAAATATCACCCAACTAAATTTGGGTGAAATGCCCTCTAAATAAGTCAAAGAGACAGGGGCTTTGAATGGGGGAATTAATTATAGTTGGTGTCCTAAGGAAAAGAATCCCACTGTGGCATGGAGAATGTAATTAATGGGAGGTAAGGGCCAACAAATCACTCCTTAAAATATTAATGCTATCAAAGAACAGCTGGATATTGAGAGTAACTTGACCCTTGAGGGACCAGCCAAAGTTACTGTTGCTGCTGCAGAACTTTATGCAATTATGATGTAATGAAATTCTTTTTAAATTTAACAAAAATAATATTGAGGTGTGGCTCTGGGAAAGTTATTAGCAGTAAACATGTCTTTGTAGTTTTATCATCTTATTATAATTATTACAGCATTTTTATTGTGTTTCCTAAATTACTTTTCTGTTTAATTTCTTAGAGCAGATTATAATAAAAACAGCACTCTTTTAAAACAAAACAAACCAACAAACAAAATAAACCTTTAAGTCTGGCAAGAATATTTTTAAAATTAAATAAAACACAATATTTAAGACATTTCTGCAAAACTTTTTCATGTATTTAATGTCTTTAAAGTAGCCAACAAAAGTGCCCCATTGTTTGTACATAAAAGCTTAAATTTAATTTGGTTTTACTTAATGGTTTATTACTGTCCCAAGACATAGCTATTTCTGCAAGAGCAATAGAATGAAGTATTTACACAGCCCAGGGCAGCATGTGAAAAGTGGATCATTTCTTTTACATTCTCATAACAAAATACTATTTCCAATATTTAAAATTAGAAATTAGAAGTATCTTTTTACTTGGAGTATATTTTAATTTAGACTTTTTTTTTTTTTAAAGAAAGAAGCCGTTGTGTTGAGAATTTTTAAAATAAAAATAAAACACAAATTTCACTAGAATCCATTCGAACAATCGAAAAACTGAGTGTGATCCGTGCTTTGGACGGAACACTTTCATTGTTGGAGCCAGCACACTTGTTCCTTTTGTTTCACTCAACTTGGCAACATCGAAATCACCTTGTTTGACAGATAGGTCGAGAGCCACCAAACATATTCACACATACCAGTAAACGATGAGAGGAAGTTCAGGATGCAGTAAAAATAAATTCTTGAGTGTAGCCCGGATTTCACATAACATCAGTTTCTTAAAGGCACTTACTCAGCTCAAGGAGCGGTGCCCATGAAAATAGCACACAGGGGACACATCATTTAAATAAATGTGTTTCTTTGCCCGAACAGAAGTTCAGATCTGTTCAATTATCATTAATTTTGTTCTTTTATTTCCTTTGCTGGCAGGAAAGGAGGAGAAATGTTTTTCGAGGTTTAGCTAGCTGCCCTCAGCAGGCGGAGGTGCCCGGCGATTCTTCACCCCGCAGCGTGCAGGTTAGGGGTAAGGGGTACGCCGCGAGCGTGTGTTTTCGTAAAAATGCCCTTCCACCCCCTAGAAATGCACAAACTTAGATGGAAAGTTCAGGGAAACATGTGGCGCCTCTTAAAAATCATCTTATCCATCCTGAACCCTTAGAACCGGTGTACCTGGAACGAGTCTGGATCTGAGCAACAGGCATTAAATGATTCGACCTAAGCGCCGCTGGCGTGGGTTTTTGTTGTTGTTGTTCTTTTTGTTTTTAAATCTGCGCCTGGATGCGCTCCCCAGACGCGCATGGAGAGGCACGGAATCTTCTGGGCTGTGCGAAAGTTTGTGAGATGGGGGTGGGGGAAAGAAGGGCTGGGTCCCGTTAGGTTTTGAGTCAACTTCTAGGGAGCGCGAAGGGCGGGAGTGGGGAGCGGTGTAGAGATGGGGAGGGGGGTAAATGCAGTGCGAACCACAAAGTGCCCAGGCACCGCTGAGGCTGCCCGCCCGCCCGCGGAGCTTTGCTCCCGCAGCAGCGCGCCCGGGAAGGCGGACTCTTGCTTGACTCTCGCGGCCTCCCCCTCCCTCTGCCTTTTTAAAGGCCGCCTTCCTTTCAGGCCGAGCTGTCAGCAACCCAGAGGCCGTTTGTACTTGGCAGCGGCCGGGCTGACTCCTGCTTCCGTGACAGACAGACGGCGGGGGCCGGGCGGCCGCTCCTCCCCGAGACCCGCACGTGGGTAATCGAGTCTCCTCCCTCCCAGCTCCGCGCTGGACCTGACGGCCGCCACCAGGCGGGGCGCTGCGCGGTCCTGGAGTTGCCACCTCCGGGCGCGATGGCTCCCGTGAGGCGTGAGGAGGAAAGAGGTCAGGGGCTCGGTGCACCCCTGGCGTCCGGAGCGCGATGAGCGGTGCCCAGGGCTGCAACAGGAGCCATAGCAGCAGCTCGGCGGGCGCATCCCGCGGGCCCCCCGACGGTCTCACCCACCCGCCTCGCGCGCCATGCTGACCCCCGGCCTGCCGAGCCCGCAGCGGAGCCCCGGTCGCCTTCCGAGCCCCTGCTAACCGGCACGGGAGTGCCTCGGTCCCCGGGTGAGGTGGACCCGCGGGTGCGCGGCCGCCTAGCTCCCGGGCTCGGCCCTTCGCTTTCCAGCCGCGTCCCCTCCCCACCTCCCTGCGCGCCCCGCGGCCATGGGGGCGCTGCTAGCTCTCTGCCTCCTTCTGGGATGGCTGCGCTGGGGCCCAGCGGGCGCGCAGCAGTCGGGAGAATACTGCCACGGCTGGGTGGACGTGCAGGGCAACTACCACGAGGGCTTCCAGTGCCCGGAGGACTTCGACACACTGGACGCCACCATTTGCTGCGGCTCCTGCGCGCTGCGCTACTGCTGTGCCGCGGCTGACGCCCGTTTGGAACAGGGTGGCTGCACTAACGACCGTGGCGAACTGGAGCACCCGGGCATCACGGCACGTAAGTGCGGGGTCCTCTGGGACCCACTGGTGCCGGCCCACCGCCTGGACCCCGGCTGCGCGCTTGGCCTTACCGGGGCCACAGCAACGTGGCCTCAGCGAGATGGGGGAATAAGGGATCAAGGGAGGAGAGGGCAGGTGCACCTTAGGTCGGGGCGGAAGGACCTATTCTCTGCTGTTTGCTTTCCCGCCACGCGCTGTTCTACTTGGTTAGCTCAAGAGAAAGTTCAATGGGGACCGTGCGGCAGCCACCCGGTAGCTTTGGGGAGGACACTTGCAACACCTGGGCACCCGGGCGGTGCGGAGAAGGGCCGTGGGGGCAGCGCGAGACTGGACATGGGGTCCTTAGTGGGCAGGAAAGACACCTATTTCACACCCTGTTCTCTCTGGAAGCTCAGGGACCTGCCAACAACACTCTTGCTGCGCGCTTATTACCATCCCTATAGTAGCAGGGACCTTGGGCCACTTTTTTTTTTAGGTTCTTTGGTAGTGTTTCTAAGCCTACTTCCTTTCATTTCTCTGTATCGAATTACTCTCTCCGGGCCCACCCTATTGTCACGCCTTTCAGAAATACCCAGGTCTTCCAGGTGGAGATTTAAACCCAGGTCATAGGGGCTGCCCCGCCCTCTATTCTCACGTCGGAAAACACGGGTCAAATTTCCGTTCTCTTCAGAGCAGAATAAATTATGACCCCAGCAGAGGAACTTTACACTTAAAAAAAAAAAAAAAGTTTTCCACCTGAATTGGAACATCCGGGAAACACTTCAGAGCTTGAGGCGATGGTTTTACTTCCGAGAAATTCTCGAGGAATTGAGAGCTGGTGACACTCTAGGACTTCAGAGCGGGGTTTGAAGCCGGCCCTTGGGGAAAGGCAGGGGTGGGCTGGAGAGATAATTACTGGTGCCAGAGCCCCTCACCCCATCCCACCTCTGCCAGGAGATTGTAACCCAGAGGAAAGGGGAACCTGTTTTTAGTACCCCATGTGGCACTCAAGGAATTTAACTTTGAGGACCAAGTTGTCTAGCGGATTTGAGAAATGGTTTCTGAAGGAAAGATGCTCACTGGTAAGTAGAAGCTCTAGGCTGTCCTGGCTTGTTTGAAAACTGTAGCACCTTCCCCAACTTTACTCCAGTCTCCCATGCCCCGGTTTTTCCCTACCTGTAAAGTGCCAGCACTAACTGCTCCTACTGCAGGTGGGACATCCTCACTGTGATGAGAGAGGGAGGCAGTCACTGCTCTACTGAGCTTTGGCAAACCTGAAAGAACAACTACCCACCCTGCCCTTTGCTAGCTGTGCCACCTTGGGTAACTTAGTTAACTGCTCAGGACTTTCCCTCAACTCTAAAATGGGCATGTTGCTTTCACATGAGTTAGGCTGTGGATTAAATGAGAGTGTCTGAATGCTTCACAGTGTTCAGTAAGTGGAGTTAGCCCTTTGTCCATGTCTTCCACATGGGTGCTACTGAACATGGTGGTACACGCTAGAGCATACTCTTACAAGAGGACAGAACCAAGGGGTTGGTTTGTTCCTGTAGCTCACTAACTGAGCATCTTTGGGGAAGTTAACAGCGCTCTCATTTTTTTTTTTTTTTTTCTACATCTGGAAAATAAGCTTATCATATCCTTCCCATGGGGTCTCCATGCAACTTAATTGCATAATGAATACTCACATAATGAGCCAGGTCCTGAGTCAATACCCTCCTTCTAAGCTAGAGGCTGCATCTCAAAGACTCTTTACCAAACTGGGAAGACACTGAGAGAACTGCCTAGGGGGTGCTGCTGGAATGTAGAATTTTCTGCCCTCCATGTCCAGAGAGGAAGAAGCTGAGGTTTGCTCTATTTGAGGAGTTCTCTTACAGAAAATCTGGTCTGTCCACCCCTGGAACAGCCTGACCTGGGTTCCCAGACTTGGGTCTAAACTGAGAGGCAGTGGTATGGTAGTTGGAGTGGGCAGCCAAGACCATTGCTAGAAAGAGGCAGCTGCAGCTGACAATTTGTGATGTGGTGGAGACAAGAGTATTGTTGGGTCCCCTACAGTGGGTTTCTTTATGCTGTTCTTTTCTGAGTCTTGTAAAATCCCGGAGGTCTCATTTAACACGCCTGGTCCTCTTTGCTTAGGTTGGAGATTTTTGGATTTTCATAGGTCAAAGCCCTAAATACCTTACAGTGATAAAACAAAATCTGTGTCGGAATGCAGAGATACCGCCTCCCTTTGCTGCTGTGGCGTGGTGGTCGATTCTGACTCATAGCAGGCCGATAGGACATCATAGAGCTAGCTGCCTCATCTACTTTGTAAATCTTTACAGATGCCACCTACCTCGTTTCTCCTGAGGAGCTGCTGGTGGGTTCAAACCAACCACCTGAGGTTAACAGCGGAACACTTTAATCACTGTGACACCAGGACACCCTCCAGAGATCTAAAACCAAAAACTCAGTGCTGTTGAGTCGCTTCCCACTCCTAGCAACCCTATAGGGAACAGTAGAACTGCTCCATAGATAGGGTTTTGGCGACTGTAAATTTTTACAGGGGCGTTTGAACTACCAACCTTTACTTAGCAGTCCAGTGTTTAACCATTGTACCACCAGGGCACCTTCTTTAGAGATATGTTGTTTTTAAGAGCCATTGAGTTGGTTCTGACTCACAGCTGCCCTCTATAGGGTTTCAAGGGAGCAGCTGGTGAGTTTGAACCACTGACCTTGTGGTGCACAATGCCCTGGCAGTCCAGGGCATTAACCCACAGTGCCACACCAGGACTCCCTTCTAGAGATATAGTGCTCCCCCGCCAAAAACAAAAACAAACCCGTACCCTTTCCTTTCAATGCATGCACATGAGGATAGAATCTGTTTTCTGATTTCCAGATGGGCAACATAAGGGTTAATTGATAACAGAGACTACAGTATCAATTTGCTTCCTCTCCACTAAGAGTAACACTTTGCACTTTAGAGGGCACCGGTCACAGCTCTGGAGTCCTGATTGGTGCTGGGGGCTAATGCGTCAAACTGCAGAGTTGTTTGAACTGCAAGGTCGGTGGTTCAAGCTCATCAGCTGCTCCTTGGAAACGCTATACAGGGTTGCTATGGGTCAGAATCGACTCGATGGCACTTAACAACAAGAGTCACAGCTCTGGAAAGTAATGGTGGTGGCTGTGTGCCGTGGAGTCGATTCCGACTCATAGCGACCCTGTACAGGGTTTCCGAGGCTGTAAATCTTTATAGGAGCAGAACGCCTCATCTTTCTCCCACGGAACAGCTGGTAGTTTCCAACTGCTGACCTTGTGGTTCGCTGCCCGATTCGTAACCACGACGCTACCAGAGCTCCTTATTGCTGTTAGTGATACTGAGCCTCCTACACCACCCCTACCCCTGAGCTGCCTGAGTAAGGTCTACAGTTTGGGAGAGCTTTATGTGAGGATCTGAGTATGTCTGTTTTTGCCTTTTAGAGCCCGTCTATGTCCCCTTCCTGATTGTCGGCTCCATCTTCATCGCGTTCATCATCCTGGGCTCTTTAGTGGCTATTTACTGCTGCACCTGCTTGAGACCCAAGGAACCCTCGCAGCAGCCAATCCGCTTCTCACTCCGCAGCTATCAGACAGAGACCCTGCCCATGATCTTGACCTCTACAAACCTCAGAGCGCCTTCCAGGCAGTCTAGCACGGCCACAAGCTCCAGCTCCACAGGGGGCTCGATCCGGAGGTTCTCCTTTGCCAGGGCAGAGCCAGGTTGCCTGGTTCCCTCGCCACCCCCACCTTACACCACGGGCCACCCAATCCACCTCACTCAGCCATCCGGCTTCCTGGTGTCACCTCAATACTTTGCTTACCCCCTTCAACAGGAGCCCCCACTGCCTGGGAAGAGCTGCCCAGAATTCAGTTCCAGTTGACATGCCACGGCCTCAAACTCATTACGTAGTAAACTGGCAGACAGGTGGAGCGCTCCTGCCACTGCCTTGTGCATTTCTGAGGAAATGTCCCTTTTAGCAGAGCAACATGCTGGAGGAAAAGTGCTGGGGAAATGCAGCACCTTCGACATAATCATAACCTTCCTGGCTCCAATGGTTATGTTAGGTAATTGCCTTCTGGCTTTGAAAACATGGTGACTGTTACATTTCAATGTATGCAACCTTTAACCAAAAGCGCAACACCACTTCAAAGTAGTAAATTGGCTAAAAATGTTTTATTAGACTCCTCTGCTATATAGCTTATAGCAGGTTTGGTGGGTTTTTTTTTTTTATTATTATTATAAGTTGTTTATTGTCTTATATTACAATACATATATATATAAATAAGCACAGAAAAGTACCTGATTGTAATTATTAAAGGTTCACTTAAAAAATTAACTAATAAGTAAATGAAGGGGACTGTGAACCACTTATTTATAATTTGGGGAGCAATCTAACCATGAATAATTGTAGCAGGATGAGAACAGTTACTTTTTAAATTAATACTAAATTTTGTTTAAAATGTAAGAGTTTTTGCAGAATACAATGAATCTCAACCATTTAAAGTCTTAGAATGCTTACTTAGATATGCATTGTAACCCACAGCCTATGTTAAAGCATTTCCCCCAATCACCTGAGGGAGTATTTATTGTGGACTTTTTGTTCAACATTCAGTGTTTAAATGAAAGTTGGACAGTTGGGTCTTAAAACATTTATTTGTAAAATGAGTTATGTACAAATGTAAAGGTTTGTAATTTAATGTATTTACCACATTGACGGTACTAATTATTTAGTAGTCACACTGTAATTTTTATGTTAATAATAACTGTGGTTGTTATTATTGATTATCATCTTCTAATAGTGTATCTCTCTCATGCCACTGAATTCCATGTCTGATGACTTCATATCTGGGCATATATCCTGCTGAGTTAGAGTAAATAAAATATTTTATGTTTTCATGAAGTCTATTTGAAATTTTAGGTCAAAGGACTCCATTTTACCTCACTAATGATACTCATTGCTAGTCAATAAAAGAAAATGGCTTTAATTTAACACACACTTCATATTTTGAAATTGAAAACTAATAAGTACTTTACACTGCTTTTTTAAATTTACTCTAAAAAACTATATCCTGTATCACAGATCATGGAAGCAGCAAAGGAAATGGCTTTGAAGAGGTCTCAGCCTGTGGGCTGCACTCAGCTCTGAGATGTGCCATTTGGTTGGCAAAGATTAAAAAAATCAGGATGTTTCTTGTAAGAATCTGTATTTCTGGCTTCTTTTGACACATAGATGTGGTCCCGTAGGGCCTCCCCTACAGTGGGGTCAGGCCTGCTCTCTGCAGTTAAGACACTTTCTATTTGCCACCACTTGCCTGGTCTCCCACCTGTCCATTTCCACATTACCTGCTTGCCCCGTGGAGGGCTGTTTGGGAGCCCAAGCCTACAGGAATTCATATTACCATAGTCACCTCAATACAAACAAACCAAAGGCTTTCAGTTGATTCTGACTCCTAATGACCCTGTAGGTCAGATCAGAACGATTCCAGGACATAAATCTTACGGAAGCAGGCTGGTGGGGTCGTAAGTCAACTCAACAGTTGTTTTCAAATACAGATGGTTAGAGGTAGAATTCTGCCCTTTTTTTTGGAGGGGGTTGTTAAAAAAGTTAATCTTTATTATGCAATCTGTCTTGAAGATAAAGTTTTAGCAGAACAAATTCAGCATAGAATAAACTCACATCAGACAATTTAGAACTTCATAGAAATGTCACAAAGGATTTTTCTGTTTATAAAAAGGTGCTAAAAGGTTTTATTTAATGAGAGGGATGTCTGATTTTTGTTTGCGCTGAAAAATTTGTGTTTGCAATACTGGATAACAGGAACAGGGTATAATGTCATAATTATATTAATCTTAGTTGTTTGTTATTTTTAAAAATTTTTTATTGTGAATTGAGTGGAGGTTTGTAGACAAGATCATCAACTTCACCTTCAACAAATTATACACTTTATTTTATTTCAATTATTACAATCCCTTCCCCGAAGCAAGAGCTAACCAGCTTTCTCCATGTGGCAAGTTTTGCCACTTGTTTCAAGTTCAAAAATATTATGCTTTGGCCCAGACTAATGGCAGAGGGGCCTTGGACTTACAGTCTCCTATTCTCTCTACTATTTATCCAACAGTGACATGGCTTCTGGGTATACCAAGTTATTAAAAAAAAAAAAAATCTTATGAAATAGAAATAATCTGAATGTGAAAGGACAAACATTTGTGAGCAAGCTCCCGAAGACACTGTTGCATCATTAGACTGGTTTTACTCATGTTGCTATTAAAAACAAAACAAAACAAACCCACTAAAATGCATTGCCATCTAGTCAATCCTGGCCCACAGTGACCCTAGAGGACAGAATAGAACTGCCCCATAGGGTTTTCGAGTTTGTGAATCTTTTCAGAAGCAGACTGCCACGTATTTCTCCCATGGGTACAATGGTAAATGTTTCAGTTAGCAACCAAATGCTTAACCAGTGTGCTACCAGCGTTTCTATGTTTGCTATATGCCACTCCTTTTATATTCGTAAGTTAACATGTATTGTGCTCTTATTATGAGTCAACCACTGTACAAAGTATTTACGTGTATTAAGTCATACTCCCAACAATCCAACAGGGAGATATTATAATTCCTATTTTATAGATTTGGAAATGGAGGCACAAAAGTGAAGAAGTAACTTGTCCAAGATTCCATAGCTATAGAGCCAAGATTGGTACTCAGGCATCAGCTCTGAAACATAGGCCTGATGTTGTGTGCTATTGAATCTGTTTTGACTCATAGCAATTGTATATAGGAGTCCTGGTGTGGTACTGTGGGCTAAGGAGTCAGACTGCAAAGTCGTTTGAACTGCAAGGTTGGTGGTTCGAGCTCACCAGCTGCTCCTTTGAAACCATACACAGGGGTCACTATGGGTTGGAATCGACTCTACAGCACTTAACAACAACAACAACAATACTATATAGGGTTTCTTAAGAATGGCTGTTAGGTTGAAATGCTGACTTTGCAGTTGGAGTCCTGGTGTGGCACAGTGGGTTAATGCACCAGATTGCAAACTCCTTTGAACTGCAAGGCTGGTGATTCATGCTCACCAGCTGCTCCTCAGAAACCCTATACAGGGTCTCTATGGATCGGAACCGATTCGATGGTACTTAACAAGTCCAGTGCTTACTGTACAATGCCACAGCAGGACTCCAACCTAGAAGGTCTGCTTTTCTCAAGGAAAGAAAAAATTCAACCTATTCTTCAGAGAATCTACTGGAGGTATGTCAAAACAGATTCAAGCATCTGGGGAACACCTGCTTTGGAGTTTTCATGCCTTGCTGCACATCACAATCCACTGGTGATTTCAAGCACATGCCACTGAACTGGTTCTGACTCATAGTGACCCTGTATTGGGTTTCTGAGGCTATACATCTTTACAAGAGCAGACAGCCTCATCTTTCATCCATGAAGCAACTGGTGGATTCAAACTGCTCACGTTGCAGTTAGCAGCCCAATGTGTAACCCACTGCACAACCAAGGCTCTTTTCCTTAAGGCAGCAATTCTAAATCGTAAGGGATCCAATGAACTCTCCTTAGAACATCCCTACACTGCCCTACAATGAAATTCACAGATAATATAACTTAGTGTACTGGTAATTTTGAAAAAGAAAAGAAATCCAATACAATGCCATAATGGTACACAAACCAGAACCAAACAAGCCTATGGCTGTTGAGTTGATTCTGACTCATAGTGAGTAACCCTATAGGGTTGGTGTGGCACTGTGGGTTAATGCGCTGGACTGAAAAGTCAGTTTGAACATCAAGGTGGGCGGTTCAAGCTCATCAGCTGCTCCTCGGAAACCCTATTGTTGTTGTTGTTAAGTGCTATCAAGTCAGTTCTGACCCATAGAGACCGTGTACAGGGTTTCCTAGGCTGTAAATCTTTACGGGAGCAGAAAGCCTCATCTTTGTCCCATGGAGCAGCTGGTAGTTTCGAACTGCTGACCTTGTGGTTCGCAGCCCAATTCGTAACCACTACGCTACCTGAGCTCCTCAGAAACCCTATACAGGGTTGTTATACAACAACAGCAAGTCTTTAGAGAAGCAGACTGCCACCATCTTTCTCCTGCAGAGGCTGGTAGGTTTGAGCTTCTGACCTTTCGGTTAGCAGCCACGCTCTTAACAACTGCACCACCAAGGCTTCTCAAATGGTACACAGACCAAAGCTATAAAAGGAAAGCATAGTAATAAAACCTGAGGAGTTGGAATCTGTGTAAGGTGGAAAACTGTCAGAGAAAGAAAACAACAATTATTTCCCACTAAAACTGTGTAACACTGCACCCTGTCAATGACAGAAAAGTTGCAGGGTCCCCAAACATGGCAGTCCTGTTGAATTCCAGCTTTCACAGGTTTTGATATATTTGAAAATGTAATGGCTCAAGCAGACCTTACAGAGGACTCGGATGCTAACCTCCTGTGCAGAATCACTGTAATGTGATAGCTTCCAATGCAGGTTTATCAGACTGACAACTCTAACACCATGAATTGCACCACTGTTGTTAACGGGATTTTTTTTTTTTTTTTTTCCAAACCTAACTTAATTTTCCTTTGAATTTTCCACAGTAGTTATGTATCTGGAAAATTCATTCTACATTGCATTACCCATTGCTGTCAAGTTAACTCTGACTCATTACGACCCTGTAGAATGGAGTAGAACTACCTCCTGGGGTTTCCAAGACTAATTTTGATAGAAGCAGACTGCCACATTTTTGTCCCCAGGAGCAGATGATGGGTTTGAGTCACTGACTTTTCCACTAGCAGCTGAGTCCTTAACTACTGTGCCACCAGACCTTTTTCACTGTATATTAAAACCAAACCAAGTTCAACTCAATAACGATGCTATGCACTACAGAATGAAACAGCCTGGTCCTGTGCTGCCTTAGGCTGGGTTTTCTAGAGAAACA